TGTGCCCGACCTACAGGGATGCTGGACAGCCTGTCCAGATCCCCAACTACCCTCACAGGGACAACAGGAGGAGGGGGTAAGTACGAATTCCCCTCCCCAGCTAACTCCTAACTTGGCCCCAGGGTTAACAGAGAAGATGTTAACCCCCACTGACTCCCATGTTCCCCTGGCTACTGAGCCGGACTATGTTCCCAGCACCCCAGCGGAAGAGCTGGCAGCTGGGCAGAGTGCAGTCGGCCTCTGCCCTCCCTTTGTCCCTTGTCCAGAGCCTGATGTCAGGCCAGTAATACCAACATTGAAAAACAGATTTGCTACATAGAATACTTGGAAAAATCCAATATATATTTTCTAGTATAGTCCAGAACATATTATCCCTAATCACAGAGTGTAGCATAGAAATATGTAGACAATAGCTATACAATTGTTCAGAAAAATTGTGGATGCAAATGTAATGTGAACAACAAATATGACATTTCAAGTAAAATAAGAAACCATCAGTTCAAGGCAACCCGTGGGTAATTTCACCTCTTCTACAATTTCAGCCTACCCCTGCTCATTACGTTCTCACATTATTTAAAATAGTTTTCTGCTATGCTTATTAGTAAGTACTAGAAAAATGCCAGACTGATCAAAGGAATCAAATGAATAAACACGACTAACGAAGGAAATCACAATTTCAAACAGTGTTAGTGAATAATACAGTAATTGCTAATTTTTGCCTTTTTCTTGCCATAATATTAAATTTAGCTATAATAATTACACATACAAATGCACACGCCACACACACACATCCAAAGACAATAGATTACTTTAACACAAAAAAAATTTGAAGGATAACACCCTTCAGAGGAATTATTTTGCGTTTAAATGACACTACAGACTCTAGCTGACAAACATTTTAGTTTTAATGCACTGTGCAGATGAAGCATTAACCCTTTTCTTACAGAGCACTTTTTCTTTGTGAAAAGGTATTAGCATTTGTTATTTATTTGAAACATGGGGCACATAGCTAGCTCATAAACGTATAATAAAACAGCAATTTTGTATAGCGATGGCTCTCCAGATAAACATACAAATTTAAATTAAGTAAATGTACATCATTTTTACTTCATTCTACATTTATTCTGAAAAGCTTTATATTGTGTACAAGTTCTCAAATATTAGTTTAAAAGCAAAAATGCTAATTTTCAGATAAATAATAGTAAGAATAATAGATCATTAAAAATTAAGATATGCTAAACCACACTCTCTATGACAAGATGCTGATTGGGACAGAGTCATGGGTGTCTACAGGCATCTACAGGTGGGGGCAAAGGGGGGCACTTGCCCCCCCTGGATTTTTCAGCTTGTTCTGCTAACTTTCGTGTGAGATTGAAAATACAGTGCAATACCGGTGCGCTGTGTATGGAGAGAGACAGAGATAGGAAGCTGCATCTTATCCCTGCTTCTCTCTGACTGTATCTGCAGGGGAGCAACACATGCAGCCAGAGACAGCCTACAGATCAGGTAAGTGAGGCATGGGGGCGCAGAGATAGCCTACAGATCAGGTAAGTGAGGCATGGGGGGTGTGAGGGAGATAGCCTATAGATCAGGTAAGTGAGGCATGGGGGGGCAGAGATAGCCTACAGATCAGGGAAGTGAGGCATATGGAGGGGGGGCAGAGATAGCCTACAGATCAGGGAAGTGAGGCATATGGAGGGGGCAGAGATAGCCTACAGATCAGGGAAGTGAGGCAGAGATAGCCTACAGATCAGGGAAGTGAGGCATATGGAGGGCAGAGATAGCCTACAGATCAGGAAGTGAGGCATGGAGGGGCAGAGATAGCCTACAGATCAGGAAGTAGAGGCATATGGAGGGGGGGCAGGGGCAGCCTACAGATCAGGGAAGTGAGGCATATGGAGGGGGCAGAGACAGCCTACAGATCAGGGAAGTGAGGCATATGGAGGGCAGGGAGCAGCCACAGATCAGGGAAGTGAGGCATATGGAGGGGGCAGAGACAGCCTAGCCATCAGATGAGGAAGTGAGGCATGGAGGGGCAGAGATCAGAGTGAGGCATGCAGCCAGATCATGAGGTGAGGCATGGAGGGGGCAGCCAGATCAGGGAAGTGAGGCATGGAGGGGGGACAGCCTACAGATCAGGGAAGTGAGGCATGGAGGGGGGGCAGCCTACAGATCAGGGAAGTGAGGCTGGGCAGCCTATAGATCAGGAAGTGAGGCATATGGAGGGAGGCAGGAGCAGCCACACAGATCAGGAAGTGAAGAGGCATATGGGGGGCGGGCAGAGATAGCCTACAGATCAGGGAAGTGAGGCATGTGGGGGGGGGGCAGAGATAGCCTACAGGAAGTGTCAGCAAGGACCAGGAAGGTAAAGTAAGAGAAGGAGCAGAAAAGAGAAGGAATAGAAATGAGCAGAAAGGGGCAGCAAGGAGCTGGAAGGGACAGCAAGGAGCACAACAGGTAAAGTAGGAGAAGGAGCACAAAGCAACACAAATGAGCAGGAAGGGGCAGCAAGGAGCAGGAAGGGTCAGCAAGAAGCTGGAAGGTAAAGCAGCACAAAGGTAAAGTAGAAGGAGCAGGAAGGGACAGAAGGAGCACACAGGTGAAGTAGGAGAAGGAACAGAAATGAGCAGGAAGGGTCTGCAAGGGGCTGCAAGGAGAAGGAAGGGTCTGCAAAGAGCAGAAAGGGACAGAAGGAGCACAAAGGTAAAGGAGCAGAATGAATCAGAAGGAGCACAAAGGTGAAGTAGGATAAGGAGCAGAAAATGTTAGCAAGGAGCAGAAAGGGACAGCAAAGAGCACAAAGGTAACGTGGGAGAAAGAGCAGAAAGGGCCTGCAAGGAGCATAATGGGACCAGAAAGAGAAAGGAGCAGAAAGGGGAGCACAATAAGAAGAAAGCAGCAGAATGGTAAAGGAGCAGAAGGAGCCAAGGAGGAAAGAAGACCGTGTCTGAAGAAAAAGAAGACTGTGTCAAATGAAGGAGAAGAAAAGGAGATTGGAGCAGGAAGGACAAGTGAAGTGAACCCTCCACTTTATTCTGGACACCACATCATAAGGCTTTGGTACCTGGGCCTGGCAGGGAAACTTTGGACCTTCTCATCTCCCCAGGTAAAAAAAAATATCAGTGATAATGTGTTCACTTTTATTTACTGAGTGTCAGGAAGCACAGAGAGCCGCTGGGGAGGGGTGTCGCTGATTGGCTAGAGCGGTCAGCTGGCACTCTAAGCCAATCAGTAGCTCCCCATTCATAAAAAAGTTAAACATTTTTATGACCGGGAACTAGCGATTGGCTTAGAGCATCAACTGACCACTCTAGCCAATCTGTAGCACCCATACCTGATGTCAATCTGCACTTCCTGACGTTTCAGAAGCCGAATACCACTGAGCGACCTGGAAATCTGGAGCTGGAGGAATCCTTTGGGGTTAAACCATTTGAGAGCAGTTTAACCCCTAAAGGAAAGAGAGCACCCAGGGGCTTCCTGGCATCATAGCATTTTCATTTAGATGAAGTTGTTATGGTGACCAGAATGTTCCTTTAATTTGCTTAAAGGAACACTATAGTGTCTGGAATACAAACGTATTCCTGACACCATAGTTGTGAAAACGCTATTCACCCTGGCTTTATGTGATAATGACTATTCTCCTCCCCATCATGACACTGTCAAAAAGGGACCAAGCATGGATGTCATTACAATTATGCCCCCCCGGAAAAATTCCTGAGGACGCCCATGTACAGAGTGGTGTTTTGCTGCACATGTGCAAATTCTTTCCTATGGGAAAGCAATGCTTTGGCTGAGATAATCAATTCTCATGAGCTCAGCCAGGGAGGCGAAGCAGGGGAGGAGTCAGTGCCGGCAGACCCATGCAGCACTGGAATAAAGGTGCGTTTTATCCTATTTAAAGGGGGAAATTGGGGACTGGCCACAAATAGATCATTTTAAACATTTTGAGGAGCCTGGGTAGCTCGACCCTCCACACTTTGCTCACAATTGCCTGCAGGCTTTGACTTTGGATCACTTATTTGGGTTCTAACCCTTTTTAGTTTTTCATTTTTGCTTTTTATTTTTTTTTATTTTTTCAGTTATCTAATCGGATAAAATGTTTTTTTTACTGATTATTCTTAATGAGATATACAAAGAGTATGTACAGTTTTTCTCCTTTTTCTTCTTCTTGAGCATTTTTATACAGTTATTAGGTCACTGCATAGGATCCTACCTCAAAGAGTTATTCAAATGTAATACTTTGTCAGTTATGGATTATTAGGACTTTTCTCAGGCTCTCTTGTACACAGCACCAGCCGTTACCGTTACCAGTACATGTTAAGGTTTTTTCTAGCATTACTATTGCAAGCCTCTGAAACAAAATGCTATTAATGTTTTTCTCTATACTATATTGTGAGAAATTTATTTTTTTGCTTTCTTTAGCCCATTGTATATATTATGTGCTTTGTTTTGTATCTCACATTGGTTAATTGTACACTATATTCTATTTTTTGCATTTGGTACAATTATCGTTATTGTTTAGTTATTTTGTTATTGTGCTTGTGGAGCATTAATATACACTATTCTGACGTTTTTGCATTTAGTACAATTACTGAATATTTTTCCAATCAAAATTAAAAATGTACATTTTGGCCAGGGCATCATGACGTGATGGCGGCTGGCTGCACATCGAGTGAGCTCCTGACCTCACTCTAGAAATCAGCCTGAAAAGCCGACAACCAGCTACATAATACTTACTGAAGCCCTGGGGGAAGTTCTTGACAACCGGAGCGACTCACCTGCTGGTATTCCCCATGGAGATCCCACTGCGGCCTACTGACGCTGACGGACAGGTGAAACAGCCGATCGCCCGAACTACGCGGCACAGCTACAAGTGAGTCCCATTCCCAACTGAGGCAAGAATATGCCTGAGCAACGACCTGCTCGCAGAAACAAGGCCCATGAGGTGAATCCAAAATGACCGGCTGACAGGAGACACCACAACTGGGACTCCTTCAATGACAGGTTTGAGGCTATATGTCAGAAATTCTGGTGCTGACTTGCCAACCAACCTCGGGTGATATCACCCCCTGCTGCCCCATGGCCCCACAAGGACACCCTTGTAGCCAGTCTCTTACCCAAGCCAGTGGCTTCTATGGAGCAGAGCACATGTCTGCCTGCACCTTCTGCAGCCCAGCTGGATGGTACTGCTGGACTCTATGCCCATTCTTCTTCCAAACTGGGGGTACAATTGGAGGTAACCCCCCCACTGCCACCCACGATGCTGATGAAGGGATCAATGAACTTCAGGAAAGGGCTCCCGCCTTGGGCTGAAGACGCAGGGTATGGGGACCTCGCGGACCCCCACCCTTGCAGCAGGTGACAGTATCCAGTCCACACAGACCTGGAAACTGTAAAGGCGAAATGAGAGCAGATGTGCCCGATCAACCATGGCATGGACTGTCTAACTATCTGAAGGGAAGACCACACAAGGGAGTCGGCTGAAAGCCAGGCATGTCCAGGGGGACGCTAACAAGCTGAACCTCAGCGACAGCTGCAAATAATAACTGCTAAACATACCTGTATTAATGTTTTCTTTAGGCCTGTTGCCTTTTATTTTATTTAGATAACACCGTGACACCACCATTCCCCAAGTCACCCCACCCAGTAGAGCTCCTTACCGCTGTCAACAGCCTGTAACTACTAGCCCAGAGCTAAACTAGCAATCTCACTAACCTCAGTGGTTCCAACCTATCCTCTATATGACATGCTACTAACCTGACTAGCTCAATAGCATAACCATGCATAGAGAACGTTTAACAAGTAGTGGGAACGGGTAATTTGTTTCATTTTAAGTTCAGACATGTATATCTATTTTATCTTGCTTTCGTTCCTCTTGGCTATGTCAGCTAAATCGACAAACACCAACTACACCTTGGTAGTCCCTCTTGCAAAATTAAAATAACCTGTTTATCCTATATTAAGCTACTTCTAAATATCTAGCCTGATATACCCTGGCGTAAGCATGATTATTCTGTATTAATTATTTCATGAATACCTAGTCTGATATACCATGTTTTTAGCATGTTAACTCTATAACAAATATCTCACGCATAACTAGCCTGATATATCTTGTCATTTATTAGTATAAAAATATGGCAGCCTAGCTTAGATGTTTACTCCATTGTATGTTGACATATCTGTTTTTATGTTTATCTGTTTTAACTCCTTTTTCTATTCTGTAAACCGTGGATCAAATGCCATAATAAAAGAATAAAAAAAAAATTTAATTTTTTTTTCATTCTGATCTAGAGTGCAGATTCAAATGCTTTTTGGATAAATATAAATGGCATAATACCCTGCTGATAGGTATTTGTTAGGATCCTGATGACATTATTAAAAATGATTAAAAGTAAAGTTTAATAAAGGTGGTAACAGAATGTAAATGAACATCTGCATTAGAGCATAGTGCTTACATACAGTAAGTACAGTTAAATCATATATGTTTAAAATAGTATTAAAAAGGTCTATAGCAATCTGAATCAATCTTTGTAATGCTTACAGAGACATTATAGACCTCATTCACGCCTCCACATCTCTGACTATGGGAATGGTATGATATTGGTATGATGATGGTATGGTATGATTAAGCTTCTGTTATTCCGTTCCTGCAACTGTCAAAAATGACCTACCAAGCACTCAATAAACCCTTCTCTAAGAAACTATGTAATTCCCCTACTTTAACCCTTTGCGTCACTTTACCCCACTCCCTCTAGCACGTAAGCTCATCGAGCAGGGCCCTCAACCCCCTCTGTTCCTGTACGTCAGTGGTCTGATCTCAATTATGTATCTGTTAGTCCACCCACTGTACAGCGCTACGGAATTTGTTGGCGCTATATAAATAATAAAATAATAATAATAATAATTGTTTGGAAAGAGGAGAGGGCTGCTAGTTATATCCTATTTGCAGACATTAAATACGTGGAATTAGTTCCTGACAGAGAAATGTGTTAATCTACAAGCTGGTAATAATTTCTGGAGTAAGAAAGGGACACTCCACTTCAGCATGTTGAAATGCTTTATGTGTGCATTGTGCCTTCTTTTTTCATTTTCCAAAACTTGCAGATATGAATAGAAATTGGCAGCTTAGTAAATGAACTGTGTTTTACCCCCTGGTTGTCAGTCAAACAACCAGTCCTGCTACTTCCTGGTTGTTTAGCTCAGAGGAGCAAACCTCAAGAGGCAAGGTAGATTGCTCAGAGCATCTACCTTGCAAAGTCACCTAATTGAGTTGCATTGGAATGTATATGAATGAACAGCCACAAAAACTCTGGGTGAGGTTATAATGGGAGGGCATGCAAAGGCAGCAGACTGGATATCTGCAGCTTTTACAAGTAATTTTTAGATATACCCCAAATTTAAAAAAAAAATGCATAATTAAAAGCATACATGATTTTTTTCTATGTTTCTTTGCCTAATGAGTACAATAGTCAATCCTACCACCTAAAAGTAATGAGAGTGTGAGCACAGGGCTTAACTTTAAATGTGCATAGAGATTTGTGATAGTGCATAGGTAACGTTTTGGGGGTTTTTGTTTTCTCATTAAGACCTTCAAAAGTTGAAGGTCTTGAAATTAAGTGGCATCACTTCCAGCATGAAGATGCCCCATAGTGAGTCTCTATGAGAAGCATCCACTTGGCAAAAGGCAATAATTGCTATACATGCGTTGTAGTTTTCCAATGATTGTGAGGAGCATAGGATTGGACATGTGATCATCAGTAACAATGATCCCCATAAAAGGTAGAATAGCTGCCATAATAAGTCTGGAGTGTTGAATAAAAGGGAGTTTTATAATTTTTTGTATATTTCCAAAAGGGGGGCCTTTGATTACCATTGAACTCTGGCTCAACCATTATTTATCTCACATAATCTGCCCCTGACTTTTTATTTGTGAGTGGACCTATGTGTTGATAGATGACCCAGGGTGTGAGTTTAGTTGTGCACACAAATACAGAAACATGCAGAAAATGATGCACATATACAGCTTTCTACTTCACTCTCGGGCCTTCTATGATGTGTTGAAATGAATGGAGCCAGATTGCTGGTCTACTAGTTGGAGCATATGTGATAATAATTTGGGTTTGCAAGACTGCAGCTGTGACCTTTATTACTAACATTTTGTAAACTACAATCTGCTAGTCCATCTTGTGGGATATATGTTGTATACACAATATTTTTACATAAAGTAAAATAAGTACATAAAGTTATGAACAAACTGTAACTGACCCTTCTATTACAGACTGGTTATTGGCAAAAGGGATTGCTTATCTTGTCATGCCTGGTGTCCGTAAGCAGCACACCAATATGCAATATTCCTTCTCTAATCAATATATCACATGATGAGGACTGGCTATTTGTTAATAAACAATATTTAAACTTTGTATTGGCTGAAAATAAATGTTACCAATTTGGACAAGATATCTTGAAAATATGTTGTTATGCATATTAAATTAAGTGTTTATTATTTGTATATTGTTATTAAAATATAGCTGCACATTGTTGTTTTGGGATGCTTCAATTACCATAACTACCTATTTGTAGCAAGGAGCAAATGACTGGAGTCAATTCTGTTTCTTTTGCTTGCATATATAATCAGGGTACAGTCAATGAATAATAAAGCAAAAAGCTAATCTTAGTTCCCCAATTGAATCATTGATGTGGACTCAACTGTGTTATGCAAAAAACAAGTTAATTTATTAAATAAAAAATAGACACAAAATATTACTTTTATTTTATAAAGCTATTCATTTTGTTAATAACATTTCTAATAATGGATTAGCTGTTTGCTTTGGGTGGAGAGCCCACAATTAAGGACTCTCTTAAATGGTAAGATTTCTATTTGCATTTGTCTTTTTTTTTTTTTTTTCGCTTGCTGGCCTTCTGGTCCTTACATCAATTTGTATAATTAGGTAACAGTGCCAGGTCACCTATTCACTACCTTATTTATCAAAGAGAAATCAGTGAGTGTTATGAATGCAGAGCAATCACTATGAAAGTTAACTGGATGCCAAGGCTGATTGTTCTACATTAAAAGCTTCACCCTAGAATTGATTTTTAGGTGTAAGCCATTATAGTTACAAAACCTCAAGCCAATAAAAATGTAAGAAATGCTTATTCCTATACATCAATGGATAAGAACACACAAGCAAATTATATCCTAAATGGAATTGAGTTGGGAAAATGACTAAATGAAAATGACATGGGAATAATTATAGACAGCAATGCAATGTACATTGTCAATCAGCAGTTGCAAAGGCAAGTAAGGTACTGTGCATAAAAGGGATATATATTCACTTAATGGAATTATCATTTTGCTTTAATAGTAAGACCCTTCCTTGAATATGTTGGGCCACTCTAGGCATGTGTTTTAAAGAAGGATTTTTTGGAACTTGGCTTTAAAAATAATAAGGGGAATGGAAGATTTTCATTATGAAGAAAGTCAAGAAAACAGTTGTCTCAAGGGGATATTATATGTCATACAAAATATATATATATAGCATGAGTAAAAACAGAAACTTGTTCATTAATAGAACTGTATGTTGTCACCCATTTGCATTTGAAGAAATTAACTTATGTTATTGGCTGAGAAAATAGTTAATTACAGTTAAAATAACAAAGAGATGGTTTTATCAAATTCTGTAGAGATTTTAAACAATGTCTGAGTGATTAAAAAGATAATAGTTATTGTCTAATAGTTTATTCATGCAAATGCTACATACATGCTAATTAAATATAATTAAAATTAAAATTAACATATATTTAAAATGTATCTCATCATATCTGTTTCATGTTGCATTCCTATTTGTGTTTACTTTAACTATATAAAAGCGAATAAATTATTGAGGGGTACAGAATAAGAGGTGTTTAAAAATTAGAAGATAGTGGAAATATTAGTTTGAGACCAAAATTTGCACAAACTAGAGTGAACGCCACACATATTATAGATGATGAAGGAATTATGGGAACTGCTGCAGACACAGGGTGCAGCTGTGGAATGTAGAGAGAATAGATATCCTAATTTAATTTTTTACACTTTGCAAAATAAATAAATAAAAATGATTGCCTATTTTCTCTATGCAAATTTCTCATTAAGAAGCTGCAGCTGCCATCTTTGTAAAATGGCACATTCAAAATGTTTTGTTTTTTTTGTCTAGGTCTCATTTT